CTAATATTGCTAGAGGATTAATGGTTATGATAATATAGAAACATGAATTTCTAATAGTCATAGTTAAATTTTATCAAATAAATAACTGACAAATTAATAAATGTTTAATTATTATTACATTTGTTTTATATTAAAATTATTTGTCATGATAGAATTTAAAAGATAGCAATATATTATTTATGTATTATAACTTAGTTTACCCTGTAAGATAGAAATGATGCTCAAGCTTAGTGAGATAATGGTATTTATTGCCTCAAATTGTTAATAAGATGTTCAATTTTAAAAGCACTTAGAACAGTGTCAGGAACAAAGCCAATGTGCTATGAGTATTTTATATTTCACCTAAACAATATTTCATATGGACAAATTATGAGCCACTTAATTTCTCTACCTTTTTCCCAGCTATGTTTTAGTAATAATTATACTAGCATAATTTCACACCTAAAAATGGAAATATTTTAAAAAATTTAAATTTTCAGAACCTTTTTATTTTTTCCGTTTTTTTTCAGACCCTTTTTAAAAAGACATTTTTATTGGGAGATTGTGTTTGGCTTTTTGCTGACTTTTAAAGTGTCTTTAATCAATTTACTATGCTCCTTGCAGTTTCTATTGCATATCTAAAAACTGACAATAAAATCAAAGTATATGTCATATTTGCATGCAAAATAAATTAACTCTGGCTTTGCAAATGACTATTTCTAAGAGGCAAATGAAGCTATATGCCAGGCGAACTGAAGAAAGATAAATTTGCTGTGTTTTATAATTGTATGTCGTCTTATCTGAACTACGGAGCTCTGGAGGCATAATCCATAGAGGTGCACTGCTAACCCAAACGTGGAGTCTCTCTGTTCAAATGCACCAGGGGCTCTATAAGCAAAAGATGGTTAATCTCCGGTGTGATTTAACAGCAACCCAGTGGAGGGGCAGGGTTCTGATTCTTTGACAGTAAGCGTTTTATCCGAAGAAAGGGTGGCATATGCTTTATTATTCCCATATCTAGTTATCAAAAGGGTATTTGTTTTACAATTAAATTTTACAACAGAATAAATTATAACAGCCAATATTTCATGGCAAATAGTGAGTAAGTGCTTTTAAGTCACACTGATGATAATCTAAACTTTAAGACGATAGAAGTTATACAAGTGTTCTAGTCTTTTGTTCATAGGGTCACTATGAGTCGTCTACGACTCGACGGCAATTAACAACAACAGCAACATAACTCCAAGAGCTGAGTTCCAAAAGAAAAACTGTGTCGATAGGTGGATTAGAAGATGAGGAAGATATTCAGCAGTAGAAACACAATAAAATAATTTGAAACATTTGAGAACTAGTTTTTTGTAAACTTTGGGCATGGTATCAGGATGGATCCAGTTCTTGGAAAAAGAAATCGGGCTGGGAAAGGTGGAGAGTCAGAGGGGAAAAGGAAGATGCACAATCAGACAATCAGATGGCTCCCTTGTCAGAGATCCTGAGAATGATGACTCAGGGTATGGCAAGATTTAGATCCGTTGTTTATAGGGTCACTATGAGTTACAGTAAACTTAATGGCAACAAAAACTCCAGATCCTTGCCAGCTCTGGTGGCGTTGCTGGTAGGTGCTGTCAAGCAGAGACTCTTTGAGCAAAAGATCTGAATCCTGTCCTACCCCTTCACATCTCTTATACACTTGAGCCCATTGCTGCAGTTACTGTGTCAGTCTAGCTCACTGAGGGTCTACCTCTCTTTTGCTGACCTTCCACCTTTCTAAGCACACTATCCCTTCCCAAAGAATAGCCTCTCTTGGCAACATGTCCAAAGTATGAGAGTCAAGGCTTTACCATCCTTGCTCGAAGGAGCACTCTGGCTGCTTTTCCAAGACATACCTGTTCACTCGTTTGGGTGTTCATAGAATATTCAGTACTCTTCTCCAACACCACAACTCAAAGGCAGAAATTCTTTCGTTATCCTTATTCATTGTCCAGCTTTCAAACACATAGCAAGTGATTGAAAAGAACAAGGCCTGAATCAGGCACACCTTAGTCTTTAAACTTACATCATTATTCTAGTATTTTGGAGTGGTCCTTGACAGCAGCCTTGCCCAAAGCAATTTATCTCCTGATCTCCTGACTGCTAGTACCAAGGATATTGACTTGTGGTTCCAATTAAGACAAAATTGTTCACAATTTCAATTCTTTCTCCATCTATCATGATGTTGCTTATTGGCCTAGTGGTAAGGACCTTTGGTTTCTTGATAGTGAGATTATAACCCATATTGAAGGCTGTAGTCCTTGATCTTCAGCAGCAAGCATTTCAGGCCCTCCTCACTTTCAGCAAGCAAGTTTGTGTCATCTGCACGATGTAGGTTGTTGAGGAGTTGTCCTCTGATTCTGATGCCATATATTTCTTTATAGAGTCTGGATTCATAAATTAGTTGCTCAGCATACAGATTATTGTTAGGTGCCCTTGAGTTGAGTACAATTCATAGTGACCCCATGAACAACAGATTTGAACCCTATCCTATCCTGTACCATCCTCACCTCACACCTCCTGACACAGTCCACTGCAGCAGTCACCATACTAATCCACCTGATTGAGGGTCTTCCTCTCCTTTGCTGACCCTCCACCTTTCTGAGCGTCATGTCCATCTTCTAGGAACAGCCCTTCCTAGTAGCATGCCCAAGGTATGTGAGGTGAAGCCTCATCATCTTGACCTCCAAAGTGCACTTTGGCTACACCCTTTTCAAGACTTATCTGTTTGTTGGCAGTCCATGAGATGTTCAGTGCTCTTCTCTATCACCACAGCTCCAAGGCATCAATTCTTCTGTCATCCTTATTCATTGTCCAGCTCTCAGATGCATAGCAAATGATCCAAAAGACTATGGCCTGAATCAGATGCACCTTAGTCCTCAAACTGACATCATTACTCCTCAATAAACTGAAGTGATCCCTAACTGCAAGCTTTCCCAGTGTAATACATCTCCTGATTTCCTTACTGCTGGTACCAAGGATTTAAGTGGATCCAAGTAAGATGAAATTGTTGTAATTTCAATATTTTCTCCATCTATCATCACTTGCCTATTGGTCTAGTGGTAAGAATCTTTGTCTTCTTGACAGTGAGATGCAATCCATATTGAAAGCTATGTTATTTAATCCTCTGCAACAAGTGCTTCAGGTCCTCTCAGCAAACAAGGTTGTGTCATTTGCAGAAAGCAGGTTATTGATGGGTCTCCTTCTGATCTTGATGCCATTCCTCTTCATAGAGTTCAGCTCCTTGGATAATTGGCTCATCATACAAACTGAAAAGCTATTGCAAGAGACTACACAATAGCCTCCTGGTCTAGGTCTAGGTATCACATGAGCACAATTAAGTGTTCCAGGATCCCCATTCTTTTCAAAATTAGGCATCTCTTGTTAGGATCTACAAAGTCAAATGCCTTTGCATAGTCAATAAAGCATAACTAGACATACATAAAGTATTCTTTACTTTCAGCCAGGATCCATCAGACATCAGCAATGATGTCCCTGGTACCGTGGCCTCTTATAAATCCTTCTTTAATTATTGGCAGTTCCCAATCTATGTACTATTCTAGCTGGTTTTGAATGATCTTCAGCAGTATTTTGCTTTCATGTGATATAAATGACACTGCTCAATAATATCCACATTCTGTTGGATCACCTTTCTTGGGAATGGGAACGAGTACAGATCTCTTCCAGTTCAATGGCCAGACAGCTGTCCTCCACATTTCCTGGCACTGACTGGTGAGCTCATGCAGGACTGCATTTGTTAACTGAAACAAGTCATCAATTCCTGAGGACTTATTTTTTGTCAGTGCTTTCAATGCAATTTCCACTTCGTCCTTCGTTATCATTGGCTCTTGCTCATATGGTTGTTACTAGATTCTGTTGAATCGAGTACGACTCATAGCAGTTCTATGAACAAAAGATCTAAGCCCTGTTCCATCCTGTGTCATCCTCACACTTCCTGACACAAAGCCCATTGTAGCAGTCACCATATCAATCCACCTGGTTGAGAGTCTTCCTCTCCTTCGCTGACCCTCCACTCTTCCCAACATCATGCCTTTCTCAAATGAACAGCATCTCCTAGCAACATGCTCAAAGTATGTGTGGTGAAGCCTCATCATTCTTGCCTCCAATTGAGCATTCTGACTCCATCTTCTCCAAGGCATATCTGTTCTCTTGGCTGTCCATGGTATCTTCTCCAACACCACAGCTCAAAGGTGTCAATTCTTTTTCTGTCATCCCTATTCATTCATTGTCCAGCTCTCAGATGTATAGCAAATGATCCAAAAGACTATGGCCTGAATCAGATGCACCTTAGTCCTCAAACTGACATCACTACTCCTCAATAAACTGAAGCGATCCCTAACTGCAAGCTTTCCCAGTGTAATACATCTCTTGATTTCCTGACTGCTGGTACCCAGGGTGTTAATTGTGGATTCAGGAAAGATGAAGCAGTTGACAGTTTCAATCTCCTCTCCATCCATTATGACACTGCCTGTCAGTTCAGTGGTAAGAATCTTTGTTTTCTTGACATGAGATGAAATCCATACCAAAGGCTGCATTCCTTGATCTTCTTCAAGAAATGTTTAAAATCCTTGTTACTTTTAGGAAGCAAAGTTGTGTAATCTGCATAACACAGGTTATTGATAAGCCTCCCTCCAGTCCCAATGCCACACTCTTCATAGAGTCCAGCTTCTTGGGTAATTTGCTCAGCATACAGACTGAATATGTACTGAGAGAGAATACAGCTCTGACACACTCCTTTCTTAATTTCTCTTATGGTACTTCCTGAAATTTTTCAGTGTCAGTTAGCTCTTTTTGGTACAGTGATTCCTTGTATTTCCTCCATCTTATTTTTATGCTTTCTGGATCATTCAATATATTGCCCATAGCATCCTTCAATATTGCGACACAAGGCTTAAGTTTGATTTTCATTTCTCTCAGCTTGAGAAATGCAGATCGAGTTCTTCCCTTTTATCCTCCATTTTCAGCTCTTTGAAAAAGTTTTGTGGGTTTGGGTTTTTTTTTTTTAAGTGCACAGAGATTTAATCTTTAGCAGATCTAATTAATCAATTTTATCCTCTCCAGATTGTACATTTCTGGCTATATTTGGCAGTCTTTTTTTTTATCATAGACTAAGCCATCTAAGCTTACTCTGAATTTGTCTCTGATGAACTTTATGGTTTGGTGCTTTACTCCCAGGTCTCTGAGCTACTGTGAGTTGATTTTTGTGTATTGTGTGAGATGTGGATACTGTTTCAGCTTTGTGTAGGTAGTGATCCAGTTTTGCCAGCAACATTTGTTGAAGATGTTGTCATTTTCTCATTTGATAGTTTTTATTTCCTTGTAGAATATCAGTTGGCCATAGACAGATGGGTCCATTCTGGGTTCTCAATTCTGTTCCATTGGTCTATGTGCCTGTCACTTTACCAGTGCCAGGCTGTTTTGAGTACTACTGCTGTGTAGTAGGTTTTGATTGATCCAGTATTTTAACCTAAATGATGTTTCTTATCAGGAATGATCCTTTTGAATGAAAGCCATTCGACTTAAATCTTGTTAAAAACATTATGGCCATCTCTTTGAAATTTGCCATGTGAAAGTATATACCATTAACCTATCTTGATATTGTATCAGTTATATTTTTGCTATATATTATATTATAAAATGTAAGTATGACAATTATTTGATTATTAATGATAGTTTTTTCATTAATGAGACAGAAGCAGCAAATGAGCTAATAAATGTTTTGATGTATTTCAGCTGAACTTACTAGTTAAAAATTTCTGCTTTTTAGCTCACAGGTTATAAGAATTTGGTCTAGTAGTCAATTTCCAGAATTACAAATGTAGGCTTCATTTTAATTTTTTCTTAATATATTATTCCTTAGATATTGAAATAGGTATAAAAATTAACATAAGGTTTTTCTCCACCTATGAAGAAACAGTTGGCTAATTTGGAGGAACAGGAATATTTCAAAACTTAACAATTTGAAAAATTACCATAAGACACAACTAAATTACTTTTCGATTTTTTGTTTAAAACCCAAAATCCAATGTAATGTAATGTAATGATTTGAAATTCTCATTCAATAGATTGAGGACATAAACAATACGGGAACTGAATCAGCATCAGAGGTAAAAAGACATCTCCTTTCATGAAACATTCACCTAAATTATCTGATTCACAAATTATCTTTTAGTTTAAGAAAAAAAATTAAAGTTTTACTCTTTTTATTACAGATATAGACAAAAGGACAGAAATATTTTGCAAAACAAGATCATGCTTTTACACTTTCAGACACTATAGCAAAAATGTTTTTAAAGTATGCTTTTACTTTCATGGTTAGATTAGAGAAAGAAGTCTCATTATCAATCTTGTTTGAGGTACACTAACAAGACTATGTATTTCTTAAGCTGTTACTAACCATTGAGATTATTTTCTATACTAACATTATAAAGATTCTATTTTCTTTTCATCATTTATTTTCTTTCCTCAGAGTTCCTGACAATTTGTGTTTGGTTATCGCATACTAGTGTCTGTGATCGTATCTGCCACGATGAAGGAATGTTCAACCACAAAAAATGTAGTCATCTCTTTGTATCTAACACAGATAATAAAATTTATCAAGCAATTTGATGGTGTGCCTAAAATTATAGCCACTAAACTGGAAGTAGCTTTACTTTTCTTCACTTTATGGTTGCTATTTTTAAAAAGAAAAACAAATAAAAGGCAACCCTAGATAATTTAATAGAACTGATGAAATATTAATTTGAAGAAAAATAATACACGTTTAATAGGATTAAACACCAAAGCTTAAAATAAAACTTATAATGTTTAACAAGTTATTCATAAAAACGGTCTTTTTCTTCAGTAAATGTTAGTTATAGTAAAGGCAAAAAAATCATATAGCTTTTTTATTGTGGCTAAAATGGAATTAATCCACCATCAAATTGATTCAGATACTCTAAAAAAGTGCACACTTCCATTCGTGAGACTGATTAGTGCACATTTTTAGACAATGTCATCATAATTTCCATATGTCAATAGTTGTATTAACACCATCTTCTAGAAAAGAATATAATTTTTGAAGTTTGTCAGCAATATATTTCAGTAACATTTACTCATAATATGCAATTAATTTAGGGAAAAGAATAAGAATTTGTAAATATTAAATTTTTGTTCTTCGGAATAATTACTAGCAGTATAATGACATTCAGCAGAAATGGAGGGAAAGTCCTGTGAAATACAAATTTTGGTAAGGAAAAAAATACTAATTATTTATCTTAAAAAATAGGAAGGAGATGATTCACTACTTGTGTCAGTGGTACCTGTCAAATCATGCAAAATATCTGGAAAACTTAAAAAGAACTTTGAGGATCTAGAAAAAGAACGTGAAGAAAAAGAAAGGCTTAAGTATGAAGAAGATAAAAGGCTGAGATATGAAGAACAACGGCAGTCTCTGAAGGAAGCCAAATGTCTCTCATTGGTCATGGTAATGTGGTGTTTTTTTGAAGAAACAAATCTAAGCTTTAAGTCAGTTGGCAGCACTTCTCTTTTTGTTAACAGACAAGTTTTTATATTTTCTTAGGATGATGAAACAGAGGGTGACACAAGGAGGGAATCATTTTCTCCTGGAAAACTGAAACTAACTTTTGAGGAATTGGAAAGACAAAGACAAGAAAACCAAAAGAGGCAAGCTGAAGAAGACGCAAGAAAACGTTTGGAAGAAGAGAAGCGAGCATTTGAAGAAGCCAGACGGCAAATGGTAAAGGCACATTTTTAAACTTTATATTTATTATTTTTTAGATAGTTGGCTTATCTAAATCCATTAGACTAAATATAAATAAATATGAGAATTTATACAACGATCTGACTTCAAAACAGTATTCATATTTGATATATAAGATGCACCTATATTGTTTCTAATTTTCGTTTAAGGGTCTTTCACTCAATAGATACTGGGTTTAGGGAAGTTTTCTTTTTTTCAATAGACTATCAAAAATATTTTTGTGTGTTATAAATTATTAGAAATCTGTAAAACAATCACTTACTGAACCTGGTTTATCTTCATCTGTCACTGAGCCTGTAGTGCAGCACATTTTCAAGCCTAATTTTAAATGTTACACTTAGCATTTCTGGCCAGTTTTTTTTAAATGTCTGATCATATCAAATTAACAATGCTCTGTAGAATATAGAGTTTGTCAAATAAAGCATGCATATGGTGTAGTGATTCAAAGTAAAGATTTTTGGGGACAAACTTCTTGGATTCTGATAATACAAGGCTCTACTATTACATGAGTAAGCCATTTACTTTGATTTATTTCTCATCTGTAAAATGTTGAAAATAACAGTGCCTACTTCTTAAGTTAGTAAAAAGATTTTAAAACTTTAAATACTATAAAAATACTTATTATGACACCAATCCGGAACAAGAAGTACATTGCAGTGTGGACTGGGAAGGAGGAAGAGATGAGATACCATCTCACTCTAGTAGCAACAGAGTATTTGGGATTGTAAAATGAATGGTACAACCACCCTGGAAGGCAGTTTGGTATTTTCTTAGAAAGCTGAACATAGAAATTCCATATGACTCAGTTACTCCACAGCAAATCAAAACCACAATGAGATATTCCACTGTTTGGAATATCCTAAGAAAATGAGAACTGAGGCACAAATGGAGACTTATACATCAAATTTCATAGCAGTGTTATTTACCATTGCAAGAACATGGAAACAGCTCAGATGTCCAACCACAGCTGAACTGAATTGAAAATTTATGGCACATTACTACACAGCATGCAGAAGCAATTTTTTTTTTACATCACTACCTAACTTAGGAGAGACTGGAGAGCATTTTGCTAAATGAACTAACCTTTGAGTTGTGGTGCTGGAGAAGAGTCTTGAACATATCATGGACTTCCAACCAAGAAAACAAATAGGTCTGCCTTGAAGAGGGCTAAACTAAGTTTCTCCTTGGAGGTTAGGATATTGAAGCTCCATCTCATATACTTTGGGCACGTGGCCAGGAGGGACCAGTCCTTGGAGAAGAACTTCATGCTCAGAAGGGTAGAGGGACAGCACAGGAGAGGAAGATCCCAGATGAGATGGATTGATACAGTAACAGGGGCAATGGGAGTTGGTGTGTCAGAATCAGTGAGACTGGCTCAGGACAAAGCAGACTTCAGAGCTGCTGTACATAGGATCACTATAGGTCACAGGAGATTTGATAGCACAAGACAACAACAATTATTTGAAAATGTTAACTACTTTTCGGTAATTATACTTGTACAATACCTATACAGTTTAGCTATCACTAGTTGTTCAATTTAATTAAAAGAAAAAAACAAATAACATTAATTGATAAAATGACATTGAGTTACAATCTTAATAAAATTGTAACATTTGAATTTTATACAAAATAGTTCCAGAAAATTTTTTGACTGATTAATGTATGAAAGAACACCATAGTACATGAAAAGCACAAAATGGAAACTACTCTCGATTGGTATATGTGAACCTACCTTTACTTATTTGTTCTTATTGAGATTTGAGGGAGACCTGATAACATGGTCCATAGGAAATTGTACTCTGGAAGCTTGAATCCACCAGATGTTCTACTCGAGAAAGATGGGAAATCTCCTCCTAGATAATTTACAGCCTCTTGAAAAGTTATGAATCGGTTCTAACTCAGCAGCAATGAGTTTGAGTTTTATTATGATTTGAGTGAAAGTTTAAAAAGCATATTAGTTTTTTATTCAGCTATGCATTCAAACATATTTTGTCTTAAAACATTAATCAAAATACACAAAATGCAAGGGCACTTTTCCCACTTTCTACCTATAATTTTCATTTCCATTAATTCTTCTAGTCTACCACTCCTTGCATTCTAGGCTTTATTCTTGGACAAATGATGTTCTTTTGCCTTTTTTTTATGATTGGTTATTCTAAGGACTAAGTGCTTCCCTGAGTCAGTATGAGTTAAGTTAAAGGCTTGTCTATTGTTTGGCTAGCTTCTATCATCACAACAACCTGCAAGTCACCCCAGTACAGCAAATTGGCAGACAAGTGCTGTACTCATAAAAGAAAACTGTAAATGAGCAAACATACATACACAAATTATAAAAGATGCTGTAACGTGTAAGTCATCCATTTTCAGTACAGCAGACTGCCAGATAAGTGCTGTATCCATATCAGCAAACTATAAAACAAGCAAGCACACACATATTATTAAACAAATATGCAGACTGTGGGGAAAGTGTATCAAGGATGTATCAGGAGGTGGGGTACTCAGTCTGGGGCAAGAAAAGTGTGCATTAGGGTGGTATCCTTTCTCCATCCTAGTCAATCTGTATGCTGAGCAAAAAACTAAACTATATGAAGAAGAATCTGGAATCAGAATTAGAAGACTCATCAGTAACTTGTGTTATGCAGGTAACACAATCTTGCTTGCTAAAACTGAAGAAGACTCGAAACACTTGCTTCAGAAGATCAGATGGCAGCCTTCAATATAGATTACATCTTAAAATCAAGAAAACAAAAAATGGGCCTCACTAATGGACCAATAGGCAGCATCATAATAGATGGAGAAAAGCTTGAATTTGCCAATTATTTCATTTTGCGTGGATTCACAATCTAGACCCATGGTAACAGTAGTCAATAAAAAACCATATTTCATTCCTAAACAATGCTATCAAGAACCTTTCCTAAGTACTAAAGGGCATAAATGTCAGCTTAAAGATCAAAGTGCACCTGATCCAAGCTATGATATTTTCAATTATTTCTTTTGCATGTGAAAGTTGGACAATAAATATGAGCAAAAGAAAACTAATCGATGCTTTTGAATCGTGGTCCTGGAGAAGAGTACTGTACATCCCCATGGACTACCAAAAAGAACAAACAAGTCTGTCTTGAAAGAAATGTAACCAGAGTGTTCCTTAAAGACAAGGATGGTGACATTTCATCTCACATACTTTGGGAATGTTGTCAGGAGGCGCCAGTCCTTAGAAAAAGATATTAGGCTGGGGGGAAAGTGGAGGGTAAGAGAAAGAGAAGAAGACTCTTAGCAGGATGGAATGACACAGTGACTGTAACAATGGACTCAAGCATATCAGAAATTGTAAGCATGGGGCAGGATAGGGCAAGGCTGTTCACAGGGCCGTTATGACTTGCAGGTGACTTGATTATGCCTCACAACAACAAGAGTAACAATGTCTGGCTGAAAATTAAGCCACTGGAGTCAGTTTTGTTTCAGGTTCAAAGAGTAACTAAGGGCTTCTGGTCTTTGTTGGATCAGTAAGTCTGGTCTTTCTTAAGTCTTTAAGTTTTTTTGTTCCACATTTGCCCTCACTCTACACAGAATCTTCAACTGTGATTCCTTCTAGGTTTGGTCAACAGTGCTACTAGGGCACTATCTAATTCTTCTAATCTTGGAGTTGTGGAAGTTGGAGTTCAAGTGGGAGATTAATCTTTTAGACTAATTGTTTCTATACGTTTTTTGCTTTTTGTCCCACTCCTGGACAGAGTGTGACCAATAACACCAAAGATGGCCAGTTGCAAGGTGTTAATATCTCAACTGCTACTCATCAAAGTAGAATGGAAAAATATTATTTTTTTGGAAAATATTATCTTTTATGGACTCTATCATGTCCCCCAAGACTATAGTCTGAAGGTCCCACAACTAGCAACTCATTCCATTAAGGTGTTTGGTTGTGATTAAGAAGCTGCCATTGGTTGGTCCCTGCTGATTCAGTTATATTCACTGATATATTTACAGCATGTACTGATATGAATGAAGAAATATAATCTGGTAAACCTATATATGACGGTGGATGTGGCCCCTTCACCTGTCCTTATTTGTTATTTGCCTTTCTACCTGTATATTTGTTGTTGCCATTGAGTCTCTTGAAACTCAGAGCAACACTATGTACAAGAGCCCTGAAACTTTCTGTAACTTTACTGTCTCTGACAAACCTACCCTCATTACCCCAGTCACTAAATCAATCTATCTCATCGAGGGTCTTCCTCTCCTGTGCTGTCCCTCTACCCTTCCAAGCATGATGTCCCTCTCTAAGGACTGGTCCCTCCTTGCAACATGCAAAAAGTATGACAGAGAAAGTCTCAGAATCTTTGCCTCCAAGGAGCAGCCTGGTTTCACCCTCTCCAGGAAAAACCTGTTTGTTCTCCTGGCAGTCCATGATATATTCAATACTCTTCTCTAGCACCGCAATTCAAAAGCATCAATTCTCTATCATCCCTAGTCATTGTGCAGCTTTCTGACACACAATAAGTAATTGCAAAGACTATGGCCTGGATCTGGCACACTTTAGTCTCCAGCCTGATGTCATTGCTCTTCAGTACTCTGGAGAGGCCCCTGACAATAGACTTTCTCAAAGCAATTCATCTCTTGATTTCTTGGCTGCTGGTACCAAGAGTGTTCATTGTGGAGCCAAGCAAACTAAAGCTGTTAACAATCTCAATCTCTTCATCATCTATCATAATGCTACCAATCGGCCCAGAGGTGAGAATCCTTGTTTTCTTGATGTTAAACTTGAGTCCATATTTAAGGCTGCAGTCCTTGACCTTTTTGGCAGCAAGCGCTTCATGACCTCCTCATCTCAGTTTCAGCAAGCATATTTGCGTCATCTGTTTATTGCAAGTTGTTGATGAGTCTTCCCCCAATTCTGATGCCACACTCCTCCTCATAGAGCCCAGCCTCCCGGATAATCTGTTCTGCATCTAGATCTAGATCACATCCCTGGCATACAACCTTCCCAGTTTTGAACCATGCAGTGTTTCCTTGCTCTGTTCTGACGACTGCCTCCTGGACCAAGTATAGGTTTATTCATGCTTATGCATAAGCACAAATGCTCTGGGATTTTAACATTTATTATTACCAGTGTTGTAGGATTGTGTATGTAATAAGTGTTTACATGAAGGAACTCTGGTAACAGTCTGTAGTGAGTTGCACTACTAACCCAAAGGTGGTGTATCTCTGAAGGTTCAAATCCACCAGTGATGTCAGGAGAGAAAATTTCATGCAGTTAAAAAGCCCTCTGACTGAAGGGTCAGCCATGAGTCAGTTTTGACTCAATAGCAATGATTCTTTCGGCATTTAAAATTTTCTTTTGTTTTTTATAATAGTGGACTATTATAAAATATTTTTATAATACTTTTCCCTTTGTCACTACCTTATTTGACGTAGCATAATATCCTCCAGATTCAAAGTATGTGATGTTTCTTAAATTATTCCTTGTTCTTTAGTGATGCATAGTAGTCCATTATGTGTATGGACGATAGTTTCTTTATCCATTCATCCATTGATGAACACTTGGACTGCTTAAATCTCTTCACTCTTGTAGATAATGAGACAACAAACATGGGTATGCCTTTATCTGTGTCACAGCTCCTATTTCTTCAGAATATATACCCAGTAGTGAGATTGCTAGGGAGCTCTGGGGGTCTAGTGTACTGCAGTCCCACAGGCAAGCAGCTACCAGCTGCTCTGTGAGAGAAGGATAGACAATCTCCTCCTGTGCGATTTACTGCTTCTGGAAACCTGCTGGAGGATCAGCTGTGGGTCAATTCCTATTTAATGGCACACAACAATAACAGGATTTTAAGGAAACACCAAATTGTTTACGATAGTGACTGTACCAGGTTACAGTCCTTTCAACACTGTTATTGAACTTTCCTCGTGTTGCTTGGGTGAGATGATATCTTATTTTTAAAAAGAAAATTTGCCTTTTTACAGGAGCTAATTATCTACGTGACCCTCGATTTAAATTAGGAATATAATGCTGAATACTTGTTCTGGGAAAATTGTTTAATAGAACTCGAATTATTTTCTTTCTTAATACTTCATCTTACCCATTTAAAATTTTTTACTTGCTTGAGATGTTTTAATTAGCTTTAATATAATTTTATTCATAATTTCTCCAATGTTGAACACTGTATCATACAAGATTTTATCATATGAGACCTTAAAAGGACGAGGATTTTGGTCAAGCATGTTAAGGGCGTAGAAACATCCCTAGGCCTTTGATTTATAATTCATTTCTGCCTTTGATGATTCTTAATTCTTAGTAATTAACAGTTTCTTTCTTTAGGTGAGTGAAGAGGAGGAAAACCAAGAAACAGAAAAAAGCTTTAAAGAGTATCGCCCTGGTAAACTCAAACTCAGTTTTGAAGAAATAGAAAGGCGGAGAGTAGAAGATGAAAAAAAAAAAGCAGAAGAAGAAGCCAGAAGAAGAATTGAGGAAGAAAAAAAAGCATTTGCTGAAGCGAGGAGGAGCATGGTAAAAAAAAAAAGAATCTAATGGAAGAATATTGTCTTGGAATTGAGCTTTTTAGAATGTTAATACTAATCATTAACGTTGGAGAACACTGGGTTATTTCTGAGATTTTGCCAAGAGTAGGAATAGCAGATACATTTTCAGGTCTTCTATGGCATAACCCCACTCTTTTTAATGTGTTTGCTTCAATACAGTGCTGAGAACGTTATGATTAAATTGCCATCCCTGGCATAGAAGATTGAATATGATCTTCTTTTTCTGGGAAGACATGTTTTCCAGAATTGAGTATCTAGGCAAGAAGTAAAGAGCTTCCCCTTATCCCCTCTCCTTCTTTGTTACAAAGTTATCTCTCACTACTATTTTAATGCTTGTAAAATGTACAGTTATTTGGAAACCTTTCTTTTCAGACAATCTGACACTTGAATACTCTGTCATCTTCTTAAAACATTTTCATTAACTTCAGTGTTATAACTAGTGTTTCTCCTCCTACTCAATAAGCTTTAGACATAGATCCAAGAGTTTATTTGGTCTCTTCACTCACCTAGATGCTCAAATTAGAAATAATAATCACATTCATCTTCTAATTCATGCCTTACGTCCATCAGTAACCAAATCTCTTTTATCACACCTCTTAAGTAATTTTTAAAACTTTTCTTCCTTAATGTCCCACTGCCATGGTTATAGGTCAGATAACTGGCATCCTTTTACTTTTTCTTGCACTTCACTTATTATATGTATGTTTTAATATTTTTCAAAGTCTCTCATTGCAATTTTTCCAACAGCATATGCTTACTTTTGTCTATTTCACATTTTTATAATCCTTGCAATATTTCAAATGAGCTCTTTTGGCCCACTGGTAAGAAGCTGCACTGTAATCCCTTAGGCACTCAGTTCAAATCCACCAGCTGGTCCGTGGGAGAAAGATGGGCATTCTCCTCCTGTGATATTAACTGCCTCTGAAAACCCACTGGAGGGTCAGCTGTGGATCACTTCCAACTTGACGGTACACAACAAAAATTGCATGCTTAATAGTCTATTTTTTTTGTTGTTGTTCTGTGCTGTTGAGTTGAGATGGATTTATGACTGACCCTCCAGTGGTTTGGGTTTGTTTTTTTTTTAAATAAATTTTTATTATAATTGTGATTTTAATAAATTTTTACAAAGAAGTTAGATTTTCACTCATTCATTGTTTTACATCCTCCAGTGGTTTTTAAGAGGCAGTAAATCACATAGGAGAATTCCCATCTTTTGCCTGTGGAGATGCTGGTGGGTTCTAACCACATACCTTTGAGCTGGCACCCAGCCACCGGAGCTGCCTTAAGAGTCTGTTGTTGTTATTGCTGCGTGTCATAGGGTTGGAACCAACCCCTAGTTGACTCTCCAGCAGTTTTTCAAAGGCAGATAATCACACAAGAGATTTCCCATCCTTCTCCCGTGGAACAGCTGGTGGATTTGAACCACATGCCTTCAGGATTGCAGCGCAGCATCTTAGCACTAGGCTACCAGAGCTCTCTAACAGTCTATAGTACTGTGTAAGCATAACTTTTTTGTGCCCTGGGTGGAAAATTTTGTATGACTTACTAGCAGACTATTACATCTTTCACTGGTAGTTATGAACTGCTGATCTCTTGATTAGCAGATGAGGGTTTAACTACTGCACCACAAGACTTCTAGTATGGTTTTTAAACAGCCCACTGCTCCTCTAGTCTATTCCAACTCATAGCGACTTTCCATTGATTTCTGAGGCTATAAATCTTTATGAGAGGAGACTGACCATATTTCTCCCATGGAGCAGCTACTGGAGTTAAACCTCCAACCTTTTGGTTGGTAGCCCAACACGTTATAAGTTACAACATCAGGGCTCCTTAATATGACTTCACAGAATCAAAACCAGAATTAGGTAATTGTTTTCCATGGCAAAATATATTCCAAGTCACCAACTGAAAGTCAAAGTTTCTATTTGTGATTTTGGAACTACCCGCACACATGCAGAGTGTGTGTGTGTGTGTGTGTGTGTGTGTGTGTGTGTGTGTGTGTGTTACTATATGGGGAGCTTTGGTGGTCGAATGAGTAAGAAGTTGTGCTGCTAATGCAAAGAAAGCTAATTCAATTCCACCAGCTGCTCTAAGGGTAAAGCATAGGCCATTTTCTCGATTGCAGTTTAGTGCCTCTGAAAACCTGCTGGAAATCAGCTATGAGTCAGTTCTGACTTGATGGTATATAACAACAACCAACATCCTTATCTATTACAGGCAGATGATAACATAATTATAAAATGCACAGTTTGAAAGTTTAACATGGAGTCAGCCACTCTGCTAAGGGTTTGCAAATGTTATTAATCTTCACAAGACCTCTGTGAAAGTTGTCATGGATAGAAAGATGAGGTAATTTGCCCAAAGTCACAGCTAGATGGCAGAAACAGACCATTTACAGGAAACTACAAAAACTACAAATTATATGAGTATACAAATTCCTGAAGTTTTGAATACTAGTTTCATCACTTGTTCTTTATGTTGACTTTGGACAAATTACTTTTCAGTGGCTAAGTTTCTTTTCCTCTGTAAAATGGGGATGTTAATAATACCTGCTTCACAGGGTTATAGAATTTGAACCCGTACTATTCTTAGACTATATCTGGCATGAATAAACTCTCAGTAAGTATTAACTATTATTACTTCTTAAAAATTATGCTGACACCAATTAAATCAGTACAAAGGTGATTTTTGCCTAATTATGAAGGAATTATGATGTACTACCTAATCCTTTCAGAAAAAAACCCACACACAATTTAATTGCAATGCTCTATGTTGTCTACCACTGTGGAGATTCATTTTATTGCAATTTTAAATATTCTCAGTATTAAAATCTCTTAATATCTAGTTCATGTTATTCAAGCATAAGAATAGCAAAGATATTTCCTTATGTTCAATGGAATGGAAAACAAATGATCACATTTCCTTTATTCACACAAAATGCTTGTTTTACATTTTTAAATAATTCCTACCTTGCTTACTGCTTTTTTTTTTAAGAATAATTTAGGTCCTGATTACTAGTTCAGTGTGAAATCTTTGTATTACGAGTAATCTCACTTTCTATAAGATATAGTTCCTCTTTAGTATTTATAATTTTTACAAGATTGATAAAAGAATTCTTTTAAATAGGTAATAGATGATGATTCCCAAGAGATGTATAAAACAATCTCTCAAGAATCTCTTACACCAGGAAAACTGGAAATTAATTTTGAAGAGTTATTAAAACAAAAAATGGAAGAAGAAAAACGACGGACAGAGGAAGAACGCAGGCAGAAGCTAGAAATGGAGAGACAGGAATTTGAACAACTTAGACAAGAAATGGGAGAGGTAAGATTTAATGAAACATTTGTTTCTATTTCACAAATATTCATTACTCTAAGTAGTTTACATATATTGTCTCACAATAACCTTGTAAGTATTGATGCTTGCATAAAGAACATGGACACGTGGTCTCTGCACACTTGAAGGTTTGTGGTTTCAGAATAGGTATGTCCATTTTTATAGGCTGCTGTCACTCTATTCCTTCACTACTGATTTGGAAAAAAAAAAATAAAAGACTGCAAGTGATTGAAAGTTTACTGTACTACCTCAAGCTAATATTTCTTCTTAGATACATCACACATACATGTAGACACACTGTGACTGAGAACTGCAAATATATACTGAATATATAGTATACCCAATAGATTTGTTATCTTCCTTTAAACAAATGGAATTAAATGGATAAACCCATATACAACTGCAAGAATGTCAAGCATGCTAATAGCAACATCTGTATGGCAAACCTTGAGTGACTCTGAGATGAAACTTTATTAATGTTGAATGAAATGTCATAGTATGACTTCTCTAGGGAGCTCTGGTGGCGTAGTCTGCAGCGTGAGTGCATAATTAACCCAAAGGCAGTGCCTCTCTGGTAGTTTGGATCCATCATGAGCTCCTAGGAGGAAGATGAGCAATCTCCTGTGCCATTTACAGCCATGAAAAACCACTGGAAGGTCAGCTATGAGCTGCTGCTGACTTCCAGGCAGCGAGTTGAGTGAGAATCCTTCCTTCAGCATTAAAATGCATTAAGTGTACAGAGAGAGAGAGAGAGAATATACATGAAAATGCATTTTGTGTGGCCACATAAGACTTTATGCTCAGAAGGTTATTGAGTTTTTATTTTGTAAGTGATGTCATGCCCTCTGGTGCTTCCGCTACTATTCAGAATGGATTTTCAGCAGCCCATTTCTCATCTCCTGATGCCCTAGCCCCTGGACTTTGCCATTCTCCATTGGAGGTGAACAATGAGTTTCTCAAGCAGTGGACTAGGGGGAGGCCTGTAGGCCTGGATACAAGTACAGCAAGGGAAGGGCAAGGCAGGAATGTAGCATCCCCAGCCTTTGGCTGGCAGAGCCACAACACATTCAGCACGTCGGTGACTCAGTGGGGCTTTCTGACAATCCCTGATCTAGGAATTGAGTACATTCCTACTAATAAACTGCAATCATTTGAAAGTTGCCTATCACGGGCTGGAGCAGCAGGTCTATGGGAGGCAGACATGTACTTCCTTGTCTTAGAAGTTGTTGTTCTGTGCCATCAAGTTGGAACCAACCCATAGCCGACCCTTCAGTGAGTTTTCAGAGAAAGTAAATCACACAGTAGGAGATTGCCCATCCTTCTTATATGGAACAGCTGGTGGATTTTAACTGTGAGGCTTTGGGATTGCAGCACAGCTTCTTACCACTAAGCCACCAGTCCTAGAAGGGGTCCTACAAATGATATAGCTGGCTCTAAGAATAGAAATACTGACACTTTGAACACTAATGAATGAAAACTAGATGAGCTGTGGGACGATCTTAAAAGTATGATCCATGAAGAAAGCAAAGGGTCATTATAAATACAAAGGAGGAAGACAAGACCAAGAGGGATTGTCAAAAGACACTCTGCAAATTGCTCTATATGCGAAGAAACCACAAGAAAGGGAAGAAATAAGGAAGTTAAAGAGTTGAACAAATAATTTCAAGTAGCAGTTCAGGAAGACAAAGCAAAGTATTATAATAGAATATTGAATGTTCCCAGAAGCAAAAACATGGAAGGAATATACAGAGTCAATGTACCAAAAAGAATTGGGTGAGACAGAGCAATTCCATGAAGTAGTATAGGATGAAGAATAAATGGTAAAAAAAGAAAAGAAGTCCAAGCAGCTCTGAAGGAATTGGCAAACTATAAGGTCCCAGGAATTGATAGAATACCAATTTATATATTTAAACAAACAGATGCAGCCTTGGATCTGCTCACAAGGTTGTGTCAAGAAATCTGGCCAGCTGACTAAAAGTTGTTAAATATCATCAAGTCTAGTACAACACATAGCAACAAACACTATAAACAACAGATCTGAACTTTGCTCTATTCTGTTCCATCTTCACACCTCCTGACACGCTCAAAGCCCACTGCAGCAGTCACTGGATCAATCTACCTTGTCAAGGCTTTTCTCCTTTACTGATCCTCCACCATTGCGAGCATCATGTCCCTCTCCAAGGAATAGCACCTCCTAGCAACATGTCTGAAATATGCAAGGCAAAGCCTCATCATCTTTGCCTCCAAAGAGCACTCTGGCTGCACCCTCTCCAAGACATATTTGTTCTTTTGGCATCCATGAATGTTCAGCGCTCTTCTCCAACACCACAGCTCAAAGGCATCAGTCCTTCTTCTGTTATTCTTTTCATTGTCCAGCTCTCAGATGCATAGCAAGTGATCAGAAAGACCATGGCCTGTATCAGATGCACCTTAGTCCTCAAACTGACATCATAACTCCTCAATAATTTGGAGAGGTCTCTAAGTTCAGATTCCCCCAGTGCAATATGTCTCATGATTTCCTGACTGCTGGTACCAGGGGTGTTAATTGTGGATCAGAGTAAGTTGAAGTTGTTAACAGTTTCAATCTTTTCTCCATCTACCATGATGTTGCCTATTGGTCCAGTGGTACAACTCTTTGTCTTCTTGACCTTGAAATGCAATCCATATTTAAGGCTATATTCTTTTTTAAAAAACCAGAGAATTATTTGTAGCACTTTATTTTCCTTCAAAACAAACTAAATGAAAACTTTTCTTGAATGAAGCATAACAGTGTAGAGGAGTCTGATTAAGATTTGCTCAAAAAATATTTTCTTACTCTGAAGCTATGAATCTGGCAGTAGAGACAGATTAATAATAGCAATGAAATAGGCCCTGTCGTTGTTTGAAGAGAGTCTTGGTGTATCCAGATGTAGCAGTGAAATAAACTCTGACAACTTACACCACAGAACTTTAGGGAGTTGTCATCCACGAGTCTGAATGTTTAAAGCTGTGACTCTACTCCTTCTATTTCATTGAGTGTCACCATAGCAAATGCTACAGAAATTACAAAGTCTGTGTGTATGTGAACAGTGCCATCTGATTCTTTTTCAGTTTCAGAAATAATATTTCAAACACACTTGAAGAATGATAGCTTTTAAACCCCTATCTACACTTAACATCATGATAAGGATCATGTTGGGATAATAATCCTGAATTTAAAAGGTCAAAATAATAAAATATAGTCTTCTGGGAAAAGAAAGAAGCATATATAACTGAGAAACTGATTTCCTTTTGCATGATAAGAAGGAAGAAGTGAAGAAAAGAATGATAAAAAGCAGTGAGCCAACCAGGTTTCATGTCCTGGATTGTCAGGGCTGTTTACACCAGGTGTTGATGGCATGCAAACTAATGGTTGTTCTGCGAGGCTATATCTTTGGTCCTCTGCAACAAGGGCTTCAAGTCCTCTTCACCTGCAGCAAGCAGGTTGTGTGTCTGCATAATGCAGGTTACTGATGAGTCCACCCTCTGACCCTGATCCTGATGATTTCCCTGTATAGAGTGCGGCTTCTTGAATAATTTGCTCAGCATACAGACTGAATAGGTATGGGAGAAAATACAACCCTGCTGCACCCCCTTCTTAATTTTAAACCATGCAGGGTTCCCTTGTTCTGTTCGCACAGTAGCTTTCCAGTCTAGGTATAGGATTCACATGAGCACAGTTAACTTACTGCAAGAGATCCATATTTATCCCCAGTCCCAAAAAAGATGATGCAACAGAGTGTGGAAATTATTGAACAATATAACTTGCAAGAAAAGTCTTGCTGAAGATTATAAATAAAGCAACTAGAAGAGTAGATTGACAGAAAACTGCCAGAAAAACAGGCTGGGTTTACAAGAGGCTGTAGTTCTAGGGATAGCATTACTGATGTCAGATGGATCTGGGTTTCTGAAAGCAGTGAGTACCAGAAGGATGTCTATTTGTGTTTTATTGCCTATGCCAAGGCATTTGACTGTGTAGACCACAACAATTTGTGGCTATCTATGAGAAAAATGAGAATTTCAGAACACCTGATTGTGCTCATGCAAATTCTAAACCTAAATCAGGTAGCTGTAATCTAAACAAAGTAAGGAAACACTTTATGGTTCAAAATAAAGGAGTACATGAGGAATGTGTCTTTTCTCCATACCTTTTCCATCTTTTTACGGAACAGATCATTCAGGAGGCTGGACTTTATGAAGAAAAATATGACATCAGGATTGGAGGAAGATTCATCAACAACCTGAATTATGCAGATGACACAACCTTGCTCATTAAAACTGAGGGAGACTTGAAGTGTCTGCTGCAGGTTAAGGACTGCAGTCTTCAATATGGACTGCAGCTCAACATCAAGAAAACAAAGATTCTCACCACCAGGCCAACTGGCAGTATCATAATAGATGTAGAAAAGATTTATATTATTAACAATTTCATCTTCCTCAGCTCCACAATCAACACTCTTGACACCTGCAGTCAGAAAATCGAAAGATGAGTTGCTTTGGAGAAGTCTATTATCTCCGGAGTGCTAAAGAGCAACAATATCAGTCTAAGACCAAGATGTGTCTGCTCTAGACCATGGTCTTCTAAACTGCTGAGAGCTGGACAATGGCTAAGGAAGGGAGAAGAAAAATCGATGCTTTTGAGTTGTGCTGCTGGAGAAAAGTAATAAATACACCATGGATGTCAAGAGAATAAGCAGGTCTGTCCTGGAGTGGTGAAACCAGGTTGCTTGTTGGAGGCAGGTATTTTGAAACTCCATCTTACATACTTGGGCATGCTGTCAGAAAGAATCAGTCCTCGGAAGGGTAGAGAGTCTGTGCAGGAAAGAAAGATCCTGGATGAAATGGATTGAAACAGTGACAATGGCAATGGAGTCAACTGTGTCAGAGACTGTGAGACTGGCTCAGGACAGGGTTCAGAGCTACTGTTCATAGGGTGACTATGAGTCGTGTTCGACACCCACACATAACAG